GGCGTGAGAGACAGCAAGCAGGTGATGTTGTTCATGGAGCAATTGATCTATTTAGTGAAGTGTTTTCCCAGCTTCAAGGCATCAGGTCTGGGAAAAAGATGCAGACAAACAAAATTACAGTTTTGACTGAAGCTATCAGTAAGTATGCTAGGAGCATCACTGGAAGGTTTGAATTGTTCATTAGACAAATGATTATTGCATTATATTTTGAAGGATCAGAAACATATCAGTAACTAAAATCAAGCCCTAGCTGATCGTTCCTTACCTGGACTTCAGAGGGATGGAGAAAGGCAGACTTTGAAGGACAGCCTGTTTAAACAGAGGCTTACTGCTTTGGTTCATCAGATGAAGACTCACTGACTGAACGCATACGCTTTCTCCAAATATTGTTACCTGACAACACAACACAGGGGCTAAGCATTAAAAACCATACTGGGCAACTTTGCATTTTGGCAAGAACTCTTTGAAATGTGTGCAAGCATCAGTGATTTGCATACTGCATCTGCAATAAAATAATTAAATCTGATATACAGTAGCATAGTGTAGATATGACAACCTCAAAATTAAACATACAGTTAGTTAAATGAACTGAGCATTATGATTATCTCTCTAAAGGCAGAATGGCCGACCTGTTGTATAAAGTACCCATTGTAAATGTTTTGCACACTTTTGCTTTGTGCTGTAGATTTAATTTTAAATCAATAAAATTTACATTTTTTCACATTACTTCATAAATCATACTGACAAAATGAAGACGTGTTTTTTAGAAATGTTTGCAAACGTTTTCCCAAAGACTTTAGATATTCATCAGTCTACAGTTAGACATGTTGTCTGTAAAAGGAGATATTTGGTACTGTAACTACCCTCCCTAGAAGTGGGCTTCCAGCCAAGATCACTCCAAGGGTTTGTTAGAGTTGGTTAACATCTTTGTACATGAATCAGCCATTTGCAAAATAGAACAGGCATGATATCCATGGCATGACACCACAGAGGAAGCTCTCCAAAAACAACATTGCATCATCCCTGAAGTTTGCCAGACCACCTTGACACTGTTCTGTGGACAGATGAAACGAGGGTAGAATTGTTTGGGAAGAACACACAGCACTACATATGGCATTAAAAAAGAACAACGTACCAACATGAAGACATCCCAACAGTGAAGTACAGTGGAGTGAGCATCATGATTTGGGGCTGCTTTGCTGCCTCTGGACCTGTACTGCTTGCATGTTGAGGGGGAAATGACTGACTATGAGTTTCTTTGTGTCAAATACCTAAAATGCAAACATGTTATTTCTGTACACCCTAAAGCAAAATATCACAACAATAGGCAAAAATGAAGAAGGGAAAAAAGAAGTTTGTTCCTTACACTCTGAGGGCACTCCTCTGTGATAGGTCCATTGCAAGCCTGCATGCATACTGCCCTTGGGAAGGAGGCATCATAAACTCCTGGCCAAGAACTCACAGGTCTGAGGGGCTTCCAGTGGTAAGTCCCAACAAGGGGGTCTGCATATGGTATCTTATAGAATATATGGACCTTATCCACTGTAGACCCCTTGATCTGTCCATTTTTGATTAATACCACAGGTCCGTGAGCCCCATTTATTTGCTGATTGACTGGTTTGTCCTTGGTTTGCTCTATGAGTGAGAGGACCTTTGGGTGCCCAAGCTCCTTGAGGGTGTATATCTCAAAGTCTTAGTTGATGATAAATGACTCATCTCTCAAAGGCATGATGCCTCCTTCCCAAGGGCAGTATGCATGCAGGGTACATACTTCTCAGAAAGCTGACAAGGTCAATGTCATCATTTTTTGTCTTCTCTCCAGCGGCCAGAACTAACCTTAGTGGGCACAGCAGCAGCAAACAGTGCCAGCAGCCCATGTTGTAAAGAGTACTCATATACTTCCCCAGACTCTGCTGCTCAAATCATGATTTGACTTGAATTATGTCCCAGCTGAAGTAGAAAGGCTGCAGCTTCCTCAAGCCTGCAGCCTGAAATTCTCCACAGACTGTTCATGCACGTGACTCCAGTTTGGCTGGTTGCTTGTTAAAATTTATCAGACACAAGCTGCTTTGTCTGATTGCTGAGTGCCATCCGTTAGAGCCTGAGCAGCTGGGCACAGTGATGCAGGACCTCTAATAAAGGACATGTTGTCTTTCCCTTGTTTAGTGTAATCACAAAGTCATGCACAGGTACATGAGGATCAGTCATGCAGCAGGCTTCATAAAGGAATAAGAGAACTTTGTTTTAAACATTTTCACATTTATTAGTCAGGTTTATCAGTTACTGGTGTTTAATTAAGCAAATACATTTATTTGTGTTCTTCCTAATTGCAAATGAACTTTAACTTTTATGAAGATGCATATCACCACCTATGTAGTAGTGATTCCCCCAGTTGTGTTCAGATTTTTACACAAAACCTCATTATTATTATATTTATTACATTTTGTTTAAATGTAGCTTTTTTTTTCCCCTTATGCAACATAGAATTTAGTTACTTCTTGAGGCTGTAGGAAGTTCACAACTCATGTCCAGACCATAAAAAGGCTCACAAGCTACTGTACAAAGGTTGGGAATATTGGTATGCTGTGTCATCACGCTGTGCAGGATCAGCATTTATTTATAAATATCTTTTTCATAAAATATTCCCCAAACTCCTTCTTCACTGTGTTTATCACAAATGTTGTCCTTCAGTGTTCTCCACTTTCTTTATTATGGGCCTGCTGACTATAAAACTAGTATGCTATTGCATCAATATTGTACCAATTAGAGTAAACTAAACCTGTTCAGCGTCACATTTACCAACAAAACTGGTATGCATTTGGTCCTGTGTGATCCATAAAAAAATGTATATATGATATAAACGTTAGACAGCCTCTCCACTGATTTCAAATATTTCAACTTGTTCTGGGGAGTACAAAACTATGAAATATTTTTTTTTAAACTGTGAAAATATCCTTGGTGATGATGCAAGGTTATTTCTACTTAGAGAGCTTGAGCTCTACTTGAGTATGCATTTAAACAAAAGCATAAATTGGTGAATTTGAAAGACATTTGCCAAACACTGGGGGAATTATTGTAAATATTATGTGGCATCATGAGAAGTGTAGGATCTGGTGTTTTTAGCACTTGATCCAATAAACCTTTTGGATGTGCAGTAGCATACTAAATTGCTGGAATTCCCCCTTTAATCTACACTCTTCATTATGTATTAGACAACCTGCAGCTCCAGTTATAGGTCTCTGACCTCCAGCTGCAGTGACATGGCTCTGAGAACCAGCAGTTCCTGCCATACCACTCTGAGGTCCAGCGTCACCAAGCCATAAGTCTCCGATGACCACAAGCGGCAACCATCCACCTGTGACTATGAGCAGCTCCAGCCATAAGCTTCCGATGACCAAATTTCACGTTGCTGTACACTCATCTACCACTTTATTAGGTACACCTGTATGATTGTATGCAATACAACACAACGCTTTAACCTTAACATCTTTGTTAATGAGGCTCAAAATGCTTGTTTTTGGTGAAATTGTCATAAATGTATAAATTTGTTTGTTTATTATTGAGGTCATAGTTAAAGGTGGTGCTGTACTGGACTACATTATATTCAGAGGTGTTCCTATTTTTCTGACCCTCTCGTGTACTGTACAGTGCCTTGCAAAAGTATTCATACCTCTTGAACTTTTCCACATTTTTTCATGTTACAACCACAAACTTAAATGTATTTTATTGTGATTTTATGTGATAGACCAACACAAAGTATCACATAATTGTTTTTTGTTTTTGTACTCTAATGCCCAATCTGTTTGCTGCTGACTTTGAATATTACAAATTCACCTTTTTTTCTTATAGCAGAATTGCACCAGCAAGGAGCACACCAAAAGATCAATGAGCTACATGGACAGAAAAGGGAAACAAGCTGCTGTAGTGTCTGCAGGACCTCTGATGGTCACCATGAGAATGAAGACAAGAGTCCAACAGTGTCACTGTGAGTTTGTGTCAAGGAAGCTAAGCTAATGATCTGTCCAGAATACTTTGTCAACCCTTTGCCTACATTCTTATTGTCTTCACTGTTACAGTTAAAGCAGGAATCAGAAGCCTGCTAGTATGTTAGTCAACCACATGTCTTGGGCAGCTAGTACGAGTTTGAAATGCAAGAGGAGTAGTAGGGCAGAAGCATGTTCAGGTATTAATTGACAGCCATGAGCTCTCACCCTTGTCTCTGGCCTTCTCTGATTTGTTAGGGTGACAAGGGTCACTAACAGCCTTTAAAGTTTCATACTGTAGCTTTAAGGATAGCATATCGTAATGCAGTCTCAAACTCATCTACTCTATGTATCATTTTGGAATGTTAAATTATCGTAGTCATTAGACTAAACGAAGTACTGTATCCTGATGAAAACCAAAATATCACCCATAACGTTTGGTTTGAACTTTGTGGCTTTCATTATCACAATTATGTGCAGGTATGTGCATTGCAAAGACAGAGTTAGTTAAATTACTTGTGTCCATCTCTTTTCAGGGGCACAGCACATGACAATGATCTGCATTGTGGTCGGATCAATAGGGCTAACCGTGCTCTCAGTGAGTGCAACCAAAGCAATCATGACTTATTATGAATGCCTTTGTCAGCAATACAGTCCTTTTGATATTATGAGTTTCTTGTATCACTCCTCAACATGATTCACTACAGAAGAAGAGATTAGAGTTTTTATGAAATTCTATGTTTTTTATTTAACTATATCTTTCTTTCAAGTGGGAACAGCCCTAACACCTCCCACACATCAAGCTGAATTATAGGTCCACATAATGTCATAAAATACTGAAATGCGTAATACATTTTTGTTGATTTGTGCTGGAATGGCTTTATTCTTGAAATGGAATAGGGAGGAAATGGTAAATAAATGACACA